GGGGGGGGGGGGGGGGAGGAGATGGGGAGGTGTGGAAATGGTATGTAAGACCAAGCACCGACTCCCCATTGTGTTTTACACAAATTGCTTGGGACGAATCATTCATTACTGTAGCGGGTAAGGACGAGTGGCAGAAATCTGATCTGATGTTGTTGCTTGATCGATTGGCTGTCCTAGATGCCTGCCAGGCTCATGGGTGAAGTTGAAGGCCTCTGGGAGGTCTCCAGGAAGGGAGCAGTTGCAAGAAGAGGCGTCCGTGATTAATGCTGTATACGGGATGGTTGGCGTGGTTAGGCAAGTGCAATCAAATGGGAGAGTGGCAGTGGTCTACAGTGTTGTTGACGCCCCGTTGACTTTTATGGCAGACGACCTGGAGGTTGTGCCTTCACTGCGGGTGGGAGACTCTGTACGCGTGAAGGACTCGGTTGTAACACCACGGCTTGGTTGGGGTGATGCTGTGACGCATCAGACGATCGGGATGGTAACCGGGATCGACGACGATGTAAGTGCGGTGACGGTCGTCTTTCCGGGCGGTCAGACGTGTGTCGGCTGCAAAGTAGATCCCTCAGAGCTTGATCTGGTCGCTCGCCCCTTTCGGAAAAAGGACTGGGTAAGAGTGAAGGCGACGGTACTCTCGGCACCTGGAGAGTGGAGGGATATCAAGGAGACCAGCATAGGAGTGGTGCAAAGCATTAAAGATGGGAAGCTAGTTGTTGCTTTCTGCTCGCGATCGCAACCATTGATAGTTGATCCGTTGATGTTGGAAGCCATTTTCCCGCCACCTTTCCAGGTAAACGACTGTGTACGAGTAAAGGCGTCGATTTCAAGGCCAACATTTGACTGGGGACGGGAGTCGCATCGGAGTGTCGGGCCCATTATCAGGGTACGAGAGAACGGGCTGCTGGAGGTACAGTTTCATCATCGTCCGGACATCTGGATGGCGGACCCAGGGGACATGGAAATTGTGTTTCCGGCTCGGCCGTTTCAGACGGGCGACTGGACGGCAGTCCGAAGGTACGTGGACGAACCTAAGTTTAGATGGGGGGATGTGAGTCGTAACAGCACCGGCATTGTGAGTGGTGTTCGTCACGACGGCACACTCGAAGTGGGGTTTTGCTACTTGGCAAAGCCCTGGCTCGGCGATCCTAGTGAAATGGCACTGTACCAACCGCCTCCTTTTCAAGTATCCGATCGTGTGAAGGTTAAGATGTCTGTGAAAGAGCCGCGCTTCAAGTGGGCCGGCCAGAGCCACACCAGCATAGGAACCGTAGCAAAGATCGGGGACAGGGGGTTGCTTGAGGTGAAGTTCCCCAATCGAAAGGAATCCTGGTACGCGGACCCGGCCGAGATGATCGTCGTCCCGCCCCCGGTCTTCCAGAAGGGAAGCTGGGTGCGACCGAATGCGGCAGCGTTTTCAAGAAGGCATCTTCCTAGCTGGGATGGGGTGAGCATGTCGAGCCTCGGCCTCGTGCAAAGCGTAGACGGGGAAATTCTGAGTGTCGCGTTCTGCACCAGGTCGACCCCGCTAGTTGTGAAGCGCGAGGATATGGAGGCAGTGGAGCCCCCACCGTTCAAAGTAAGTGACATCGTCGTGCGACGGGAAATGCAGAAAGAACAGAACAACAGATTGTGTGGTATGCCGGAGACTCCTGCTGCAGACAAATCGGGTCCGGTCATCAATATCAGAGAGAACGGAGCGTTGGAGGTGCAGGTCTGGCACCGGTCGGACATCTTGGTGGCTGACCCGGCAGAGATGAAGGTTCTGCATCCTGCGCGTCCATTTCGGAAAGGGGACTGGACTGGGATGAAAAGGAATATCCAGGAGCGGCAAAAGTGGGGCCCACTCAAGAGGTCTAGCGTGGGGATCGTGAAGTCGGTACTGGAGGGTGGAATGATGGAAGTCAACTTCTGCTGTGATGAGACGCAACCCTTGTGCCTTGAAGCAGCAGATATGGTGTTGTACTACCCGCCTCCGTTCCAGCTCGGAGACTGTGTTAAGGTGAGAAGAAGCGTCATCCAACCAACTTTCAAATGGGGTGGCGAAACCCATCGAAGCGTTGGCCCCGTGATCAAGATACGGCGCAACGGCATTCTCGAAGTTCAGTTTGCCGACAGGTCGGACATTTGGATCGGCGACCCTGCAGATATGGAGGTGGTGCATCGAGCTCGGCCATTCCAGCCGGGCGACTGGACATCGGTCAAGAGAACGGTCAAGACTCCAAAGTACAAGTGGGGGCTGGCAGATGCAGCAAGTCTTGGAAGAGTGAGTGAGGTTCTGCCAGATGGTGGTCTCCTCGTTGATTTTTGTTTCTGCAAGCGATGGTTCGCCGACCCGACAGATATGGTCCTTTACATGCCACCGCCCTTTCAGGTTGGCGATGGCGTCAAAGTCAAGCGATGTGTGGAGACCCCTCGGTGCGGTTGGGGAGGTGAGCCTCGATGGCGAACCGGATCTGTCGTAAAGATTCGAGACGACGGGACTCTGGAGGTGCAGTTCAGCCATCGATCTGATATTTGGCTCGCCGATCCTGCGGACATGTTCGTTTATCGCCCTGCTCGCCCATTCCGGAAAGGAGACTGGATGGGCATCAAGCGCGGTGCAGGCGAACTCCTGTTCCCTTGGGGGGAGGAAGAGAAGGCGAGCATTGGCATTGTCAGTAGTGTTCTCGACGGCGGTGCTGTCGAGGTTGTTTTCTGCTGCTCTAACCGGAAATGGATCGCTGATGCTAACGATCTTGTCCTTTACGATCCTCCGCCATTCAATGTCAACGATTCGGTAAAGGTGAAGGCGTCCGTCAAAACACCCCGTCTCGGATGGGAAGATATAACCCCCCAAAGCATCGGAATTGTCACCCTCATACGGGAAAATGGCATCCTCGAGGTGCAGTTCCCCTCTCGTCCCACAGTATGGATTGCCGATCCGAGCGATATGATCGTGAGGCGCGAACCGCATTCCGTACTGAAATGAGGCAGGAACCGCATTCACACTAGCACTTTCCTAAATGTATCAGACTGCAATTATGGCCAGACCTGGATGAATCTGACAGGAATCACGTCCAGAGGAGCTCAGTCCACAAGGCCCTACTGGTGTGAGTATGGGATCCCGGATCCCAGCGATACGATCTTCTTGCATTGTGCACCGCACCGCATTCTGTACCTAAATGATCAAGGGACCGCATTTACACCAGCACTTTGAAATTTCTAAATGTATCAGGGTGCAATTGCTGATAAGCCTGGATGCATCTGACAGCAATCTCGTCCAGAAGAGCTCAGTCCGAAGGTCCGGGTGTGAATACGAAGAGCGGTTCCCATCTCGTACCCCGAGGATCCCAGCAATATGATTGTGAGGCGTGGAGTTGTGCACCGCATTCTGTGCCTAAGTGAGTAGGGAACTGCATTCACACTAGCGCTTTCCTGAATTGTATCTGACTGCAATTACGGCCATACCTGGATGCATCTGACAGCAATTGTGTCCAGAGCTCAATGCAAAAGGTTCTACTGTGAGTATGCCCTAATAAGAGTGGCAGCTCGCTGCTATTGTTGAGACAGGGTTGACGATTACCCCCATGACGCGGCAAACCACAGCATCTGACTGCTGTGCTTGGATATATCGATAAGTGGCTGCCCCATCATCGAGACGGGGGCCGATACTGGGTGTGGGGAGCGGAGATAAGCGAGAAAGAGGTTCATACAGGGGAGGCGGAAGACATGTATGTGTGTGCGCAAGTTCGGTGTAACATTAAAAGTCTCACTGGAGAGCTGGGTGGTGGGTGGGGTGTGTTGGCCGGTGGGAGTGCGAGCGGGAGCTGTACACCGGCCTGAGCGAGTTCGTCAGTTGTGTTGTTTCAGTTTATCCTCGTCAAACGTTATTCATTCCAGACTGTGTGGAACGTTGACTTGGGCCTTTTGTCTGTGGATAAAATGCCTTTTGACTTTGGGGCTTTGACTAGGAACAAGGGGCGGGGGGGGGGAAGGGGGGAAGACGGATTTCAGTGCCGGGAGGATTCGTTCATGTAAATTGCCGTAGGTCGTAGATAGATGCACTTGAAACTCAATACGGCCCAGATTGGCTTAATTACATTACCCTTTGACTTTGACTTTGACTTATACGTATGCCTGCTGGAAGCCTGTAACTGTAGTAGTAATCCCAAGGGCCACATTCGCCATTGTTGCCGGAGTCAACGGCTTGAGGTTCTGAGCAGCTGTGGAGTCAGTGTGGACAATCAAGTGACAGAATTGGATGATGTTTGAAACCAGAGAGTCATTCATTGGAGGGCGGCTTCTCCTTATTATATATGTTCGACGCTTCACCAGGAAGGGCAATCTGGTGAGCATGTTTAAGACAAACGTGGGTGAGTAGAGGTTCAGTTGATGTGAAAACAAGAGGCAGTGTGTATGTGTGTGTGCATGTGCACACAGAGAGAGAGAGAGAGAGGGAGAGAGAGAGAGAGAGAGAGAGAGAGAGAGAGAGAGAGAGAGAGAGA